TCTTCACTACCTCCTTTTCCTCCTGGGCTCATTCCTTCGAGCTGGACGCAGGTGCTGGCGCCTGTGGCCAAGCCAGCCTGGGGCACAGGCAGCTTGGAGAGTCCTTTGACATCGGGCTGTCTTGGATTTGGCACTCGAGATGCTCTCCTTCTGGTGTTCAGGGACGCGTCGGGTGGACCTTATGCACAGGATATTCGGCTACGACGGGTCGGGCTCGGTATAGCGACAGAGATCAGTTTCTCCCCAATTGTGGTGGGGCCGTTTGGACCGCTTTGGGAACCTCAAGCCCAGCAGACTGCTCCTGGAGGCGATCTCGAGTGTTTGACAACCGCGATCGAGTATTCATGTTGAGTGTTAGTCTATGTGACTGCAATGATGTGGTTGCCGTGGCTGGTGGCAGTCCTCGTATGCGAGGCCTTCGGGCCAGCCCGCGGACCTGTGGAGATCCTTCGGTGTCGTGCTTCAGAGTCAGTCTCGCACGCCAGCCGACGTTGTGGTGCTTGAGATCTCGTTACACTTGTCTCCACAAGAGTATGTTTCCCGAGGCATCGCGAGCTGGCTGGTTCAGAGAAATGATGTTGTGGGTGGTCTCGCAGGACTGGCAGCAGAGAATGGAAGACCCCCAGGGACTCACAGAGTTCGCGTGGCCACAGTCGAAAGACGTGAGGTGTTAGTCAGGCGTGCAGTTGTTCTTCTTGCCATTCGAGCTGTACCTGATGTGGAGCGTGAGGCAAAGCGTGAGAGATTCTACATGCTTTGCGTAATCCCACCAGCCCGTCCAGAAGCCATGCCCAGGCGAGTTGCCCTGATCAGGGATGTGGAGGAGCATGCAGTGGAATAAGGGGTTGGGGAGCCGTCCTACCCCAAGAGGGGGAGGATGCAGGAGACAGGGGAGGGGGAGGGGGGAGGACGGAGGAGGGACGAGGAGGAATCTATAAGGAGGAGGATGATGAGGAGGATGATGAGGAGGAGAAGGAGGAGGAGAAACAAGACGAGGAATACGAGGAGGAATACGACGAGGAGAAAGAGGAGGGCGAGCAGAATGGCCAGCGGCCTCTTGGACGCCTCTCAGAGTTTTTTCGGTTGACTGCTTCTGTGAGTTTTCTTGGAGCGTCTTGGGGGCCTCTTGGCGGTCTTGGGGGCCTCTTAAAGCGTCACGGGTGCCTCGGGGGAGTCTATTGGGGCCCTTTGGGGGTCTTTTTGGAGCCTTTCGGGGACCTCGTGGAGGCCTCTTCGGGCCTCTTGGGCGCCTTTTGGGGCCATCTTGGAGGCGATCGATCAAAGAAGGGAAGGGGGCTCAATTAGGGCCCAACACCGAAGTAGCATCAATGGTAACATCAATGAGTTTGCCTTCTCGCCGAGGCCATCTTGGACGCTCCAATGGGTCGTGGGGCGCTCCGTCCAGCTCCAGGGGAGGGGGCAGGGGGAGGGGTCAAGCTACCCGCCCGCCCGCAAGCCGTCTAGCTCACTTCCACCCGCCTTCCCTACACATAAGTAACACCCGAGCCTGAGCATGTTCAGCGGTCGTCTTTGGATGGGCAGCTACTGGGAACCAAAGCCGACCCCAGGTGCGCGACGCTTGGGCGAGGTGCGCCACGCGTGCCAGGGGCGCCACGCGCGCCAGGCACCCCTGGCGCCCGAGCGTGCCAGGCACGCCAGGTGCGCCAGATGCGCCACGTGCTCCGAGTGCGCCAGGTGTGCCGCACACTCCAGCCGCGCCAGGTGCGCCGCGTTCGGGGCACGTGCAGAGTGCGTCATGTGCGCCTGCGCACGCGACAGCACACATCGGGAAACACGTCGGCCCCCGCCATCCTTGTCGAAAGCCGATGCCCATCATCGTGTCTTGTGGGCCTGCGCACAGCAGGCCACGCGCCACCACCCCCGCCGTCCCTGTCAAAAACCACTTGACAGTGCTCGCGGGATGGCTGCGCATGATCCAGGTTTTGCCGCGAGGTGCATGTTGTATTGTTTTTTTTGATGGTTGCCCTGCGCACAGCACGGAACATGCTGACACCCCCGCCGTCCTTGTCCAAAACAGTACAAAGTCCTCGCGGGCCTCACGAACCTGACTCAAGACTTTCCCCCAGCGTTTACTTTGCATTTTTTTGACAGGGATGGTGGGGGGGGGCCGCATCGGGTTGGCCGCTCATGCTCCAAATGTGGAGGCAGAGTGCGGCTTGTATTTTTTGACAGGGATGGTGGGGGGCGGGTCGGCATGGTGTGTGTCGGCATGGTGCCTGGTTGGTCCCAAGTCGCCTGGGATAGGGGGTGTATTGATAAGGAACAGTGACAGGCCCCTCCCCCAATGAGAAGCAGGGGGTTGGAAGAGGGAACGCCTGAAAGCACACACGCCCAGAGGGCTGGTAGGATTTCAGGCTGTTGTGGTTGATGATCCCCCGCCTTCTCCTAAGCCTCCTGTCACTGCACCGCATGTACGAACGCCTCTCAACGGCGCACACCTTAGCGGAGGACGGGCGTTTGTGTACAGTATGTAGGGGCTTTTCGTACACGGCGGCTGTGAGTTCCTAGCCAAAAAGGGTTTGTCATCGTTTTGAGGATGTTGATGGTCGGCTTTTACGGCTCTCCCGATGACGACGAATACATCTCTCTGGCGGTTGGGCCCGCTCGCAACATGCCATGTTTTATCACGCGTCTTTGCGAGGATGGTATTGTGACACGTGCTTCTTCTTCGGCCCGTCACAGATTCGAGGGCTGGGCTAGGTATGCAAGGCTCCTATATCGAAGGCCAGGAGGTGAACTTCGGGTGGCGCGCGAGCTGTCGCAAATGCGGAGGAGCTGCTCCGCCGCAGGTTCGTCGCATTCAGAAGCAGCAGAAGGAGGAGCTCGCGGAGTTGTACCAGCAGGCTCACCAGACGGTCGCGCAGGAGGAGACGGAGGCCCCCAAGAAGCTGAGGAGGTGGAGTTGGTTTACTTCGACGGCCTCGGGGAGTGGTGGGCCGCCTCCCGCTCGAGGGACAGCGGGGACGATCTCGCTGCAGGCCGAACGGAAGTGATTGACTTGGCCAGCTCCTTTGGCGACGAGGTCTGTGACACAGGCGAGGAGGCTATGGCAGATGAGGCTGCTGGCCCGAACCCGCCCAAGGTGCCCCTGGTCGAGAAGAGCGGGACGCGCGGTGGTCAAGGCCGCCCGTGGACTCGTCAAGGCAAGGGCAGGGGCAATAACAAGAGCAAAAACGAGGACTTCATGGACAATGTTGGCGACAACATCGAGTGGTCGGATGCCGACCTGATCCGCATGGCCAGGGACCGCTTCGGGCCCAACTGGGAGGACGTGCTGCCTCCCGTGCTGGGAACCATGCGGGACTGGGTCAAGGCCAAAACCTGAGGGTGGTGCGTCTCGTCGCCGCGTCGGATCCCCTCGTTTTGGCCATTGGGCCGTGCCTGTGTCCCTCTCGTCGCCACGGGGCGCGGCTAGTTTTGTTGGCCTTGGGCCGTGGGGCCCCTCTCGTCGCCTTGGGGCGCGGCTCGTTTTTGGCGCTGCCATCGGGCAGTGGCGGGTCCCTTCCCTCGTCGCCTTGCTGGGCTGCCCTCGGTCGCCTCCATCGGGTGGTGCTTTATTGCACCGCTGTGTGACGCAACGAAATTGTCACGAATTTCGGCTCCCAAGTGCGTTGCGCCCCCGCCTTTACCTGGGGCGGCTTGGGTGGGCTGGCCGGCGTATTTGTTCCCTCGTCGCCTTGCTGGGCTGCCCTCGGTCGCCTCCATCGGGCGGTGCTTTGTTTCCCTTGGGTCTCTGGCGTCGCTCGTCGCTGTGTTGGATTCCCTTCGAAATTACCGCCGTTGGGCGGTGCTTCGGGGTCCTGTGGTCTCGTCGCCATGCTGGATCCCCCTCGCTTGCGCCGGGCATTGGCCTGGCACTGTGCTTCTCGGCGTAGGTCCGCGATGCGTGCCTAGGTAGCGGGCCTTGAAGACCAAGGCGTTTCATCAGATCCCTCAGATCCCTCCTCCTCCTCCTCCTCCCCTCCTCCACCTCCTCCTCCTCCTCCTCCTCCTCCTCCTCCTCCTCCTCTTCCTCCTCCTCCTCCTCCTCCTCCTCCTCGCCTGCTTGCCGGGGTGCCGCGCGGCGCGGGGACGCCTGGGGCCGCAGCGCGGCCAGCCGCGCTCGGGGCCGACGCGGCGGCCCTCGTGCCCGGCGAGCCCTCGACGCACGGCCCCGCGGAGCACGGGGCGGCCGGCGGGCACGGGGGGCCCACGCCGAGTCCGACCCGCGGCCCGATGCCGAGAACTCGCAGCCGCTCGTCGTCGTCGTCGTCGTCGTCGTCGTCGCCGTCGCCGCCGACCTCGACCTGCAGCTCGCCGAGCTCGGCGCGCTGTCCGACGCCGAGCCCGCCGCGAGGGGGAGTCTCGAGGACGGCATCGATAGTGGCGCTCTCGAGGGCGGCACAGAGAGCGAGGCCGAGGCGCTGGCGGAGCACGAGGCCTGCGACCTGTGCGGGAAGCTCTCTGTCGCGACGGGATCTCTTTTGCCACCTCGGGTTGCCACACAGGGATGCGGAATTACATCCGAGATAACTTCGTGCTCATTGGGCCTTCTGCCGTCTGGATGAGATGGAAGTTTTTTTCTGTGCACGGTTCGCTCCTGCAGCATATGGCCTGCACGTGGAGGACGCGCGAGAGGACACGGTGGAGCGCACAGTCGGTTCCCCAGGCATCGGTCCTCCGTCCAACGATGTCACTTGCCCGCAGCACCGACGTTTGAAACATGGTTGTGGACAACAACAGCGTTGCCAATTATTTCCTGGGCGTCGTTATGCTGTTCAATTTTTATGCAGTTGCCGCGCGGCCTGGGCCTGGGTGTCGCATTCTGTCTGGGATATTCTGTTTCGGCGCCGCTGGGCTGGAGACGCGGTCGTGGTGGTCTTCATCTTCGTCGTGCGTCTCGTCGAGCTCAGGGGATGTGGTGTATTTTCATGTACTCGCTTCGCGACTGCTCTCATCTCATCACTTCCTCCTCTCTGGAGGTCTCCCAGAAGTCCGCG